AGTCTCCCTGACCCTCCAAGTAATCATGGGTAGGAATAAAGCTGTATTTCTGCTGAGGCCTGCCAGCTTGTGATGCCCACGCACAGAAGCACGGCCAATGTGTAGGCTGCCAGACCGACGTACAGAAAGAGGTCGACGGCCGAGGTCTTCGGCTCCACCAAGAGCACTCCGCGCATCAGGCAGAGGTGGGAGATCTGCTTCTTGCACAAAAGGTTCAGAAGCCTGAAGGTTCCCAACACTGCAAGTAGGCAAGGAAGGAAAATCATCGTCCAAACGACCACTTCAGGGACGTCGGACTTCTCGATGAAGGCCAGCGTCACGGTCTGCAGAGTGGCCAAGCAGCCCACGAAGCCAGCGCCTGGCACGGTCCACTCTTAAAAAAGAATCTATTTCAATTGAGCTTCTCCGATGGGATCCATGCAGCTGCACTGGCAATGAACTTCGTCAAACCAAACGTGACACTGCTGACAATGATGATGGTGATGGATGCTGATGTGGGCTGGAGTGTAATCCACATGCAATTTTGACCCAACACTCAGAATCGGACTGCTGGATCTGCACGCCTAAAGGAGAGTAAAATGTAAACTTGAACTGGACCGATTCCGGGAAAATGAACATTTGTGTCAAAGAGGAACCCAGCAATGTCTTTTCATTAATTCAGCCTGCTCAGATCTCCGAAAAATTATCTCCGTTTGCAGGCACCTTCAATGCCAAGGCCCCTTCTTAACCCTGGGTTTAGCCGGCCTGCTGTCAAGGAGCTCAATTTGAACTACTATGTAGGGAAACCCTATTAACATATATATAGATATATACCCATTATGGTGACTTAGTTCAAGTTCAGCAACCCAGTTAGGGTTCAGAGCCTACTGCCTTGATCTCAGGTCTTGGGCACTCACTCTCAACCCTAAACCCTAAACCCTAAACCCTAAACCCTAAACCCTATACCAAACTCCCAAATAGTCAACTTCTACACCCCGAACTGCTGAAGCCTGGCGGAACAAGCCCTCAACTCCATGGGTTCAGGTTTTGCTGGCTTATTGCTTAGGAAATTGAATTAAGTTACCATAATTACGAACCCAATTGTTCATATGATGTATCTATTCTATGGTAGAAACTCTTGAAACTGCCCTTCCTGGCAGCAGCCCGTTGAATTCCCTAGATGAGTTATGGTCTAAAATCCTAATATCCCGTTTCTAGCCGCTATAGTACTCCGCTGCATGATCCCCTTTAAGGAGCTTAGACTATAGTACAGAAAACCCTAGTTTCCGTTTCATTGTCCATCTGTTTGTCCACTTGATTTCCACGTGATTCTACGTCATGCTTAACTTGACCCTAAACCCTAAAGTGTGGGTAGTACCTCGCACTTCAGGGATTATGGAGGAGGGCTAGCTGGCTATGTCTCAAGCAAGGTGCACCAGCCCATTCCTGTGGTGAAATGCTGCCATGGGCTGCGCAGATTCACCTGGCTGGGCATGTCTCAAAACGGAGGTACATAGGTGTATGTGGGGCTGATACGGTATATTTTTTCGTATATGTTTGTCTGAATGCCCTAAACCCTAAACCCTAAACCCTAAACCCCTAAACCCTAAACCGCCCAAATACAGGTCTATGTAGCACTTGCTTGTTGCGTTTTGGGACTAGCGTCTACCGGTGAAGGATGAAGCCAGCAGACATCTTTTTGGGGTACCCTTCTGCACCCCAAAGAAGGATCTCCCGAAGGCCACCTGACTACCGTAAGCAGCATCAGGGCTTAGGCTTTAGGCTTTAAGGTTTAGGATTTAGGGTTTAGGATTTAGGGTTTAGGATTTGGGGTTTAGGATGTAAGGTTTAATGTTTAGGGATCATGAGCAGGATAACTTTCAAGAGTGAAGACGCGTGGCCAGGACATGGCCTAAAACCCGCCGTAACCCCAAGTACCCACAATTTTGTGGATTCTACCCCCCTCTATACTACCCTGAGGTTCCCCATTAATTAAGGTCATGTAGGGATGATTAGGCACACTCAAGGCTGTTAAAGAGGGTTGGAGGGGGAGTGGATGGAAACGAGAGGGGAACCAATGATAAACTGTAGGCAATGTGGTGTTTGCTTTAAGGCTGAAGGCATGATAAGGGTTCTAGAAGTCACCTGGAGGTACCGGATTCAATGTAACTGCAAGCATGATATGGGGATCTGTAGGGGTATATGATACTCATAAAAACAAACATGGAGAATCAGATGTAAAAAACGGAAGATGCAGTGGAAACCGGAGTTATGTAAGGGTTACATGAAGCAATGTAGTGCCCTGGACAATTACCAGCATCATCTTGAGATCTCTTTGAGGTACCCTTTACAAGGAATCCGATCCAGGACCACTATACTGAGAATTATCTAGCCTTCTACCTGGGGCAGCTCACTCTTAACCTGAAAGCATTGTTCAGATACAAGCTCTCAGGGTCAGGAATTACGGCCTTAACATAAAGGACGATAGGACTTAGGAGGACCCCGCACCATGTAATAGTGGTATAAGAGGAATATAAGAAGGCCCTAAGATAATCACCATCATCCCTCATAGTCACTACTACTGGGTGGGGGGTCTACCTAAGATCGGACACATATCCTACAAAATGCAGCCACACTCTTGCCGCAAACAGGGCACCAGCTTCTGCAACCAGTCCATCGACTTCATGGTCGCTGCGTCTGTCGTGGCCAGCAGCGAGGCTCTGAGAGCCCAAATCGCCTTCCGAATTAATTCCATATGTGCCATAGTCTAAACTCCCAGTATCCCCCGTAGTAACCCTTATAGTAGTCCCCTATACAATCCTCCGCATAATCCCTAGGAGTTCAGACTATAGCTCGCATGCTTGGGAAGCACATATCTTTCTCCTCGCAACCTGTCCTATCTCTGCCATTCGCATGATGATGATTTTTGGCAACATACCAGCCATAAGGCTCTTATTACCAAGATGGCCTCCAGCGTGAGGAAGACGACTGCTGCAAGCAGGAGCAACAGCGTGACGCAGAGGGAATCCTTGGCACTTGAGAGGGCAGCTTTGGGGTTTCGCGTTTAAGGTGTAGGCTTACGCACGATCACCCCTGCAAACTAGTGGTATGCGAAGAATGCGATGCCTTAGCCTGAAATTGTGAAGCTTCATGTTTGCAACCACTTGAGGATCTATCATAGCTCCAAGGGCACCCCCATGACTAGCCTACTCATTGAGCCCTGCTGACCCGCCAAGTAGGGCTTCGAGTGTGGGCCTCAGCTCAGAGCCCTAATCCCCGGCTCCGGCTTTAGGCTTTGGAGCTTAGAGCTTACCGTATATTCTCCTCGTAATTCCCTAAGTACTGCCCTTAGAATCCGAAATCGAGAGGCCAGAATCCCGGGTGATGGGCAGCGTCTGTCCATAGCAAGCTGCCAATCCACCTGATTTGGGGTTTAGGGTTCAAGGTGTAGGGTTTAGGGCTGGGATTTTCTCAAGGTCAGGTACCCTCAGCGTCTTTTCTTGTGAGAATGTATATAACAACATAAATGGTTTGGTGCTAAGAAATTTAAGGCGTTTTAAAGGCCCTCATCAAAGAACCCAAGGGGTGGGAGCTCTGGAAAACCCTCGATAAAAATCGATCAAACCCCCTACAAACACTCTAAAAACCATCCAGAAAACTCTTTAACCTTTCACGCACATTTCATGAAAGCTATGAGCCCTCTGTAAACCTTCTACAAAATTCAATAAACCAACTTTAAACCAACCCTATAGAAACCCTCTACGTCTGTAGGCCCTGCATGAACTGTATAAAACCCCTGCTACATCGTCTAGAAACACTCTGTTTCTCCTCTGTAAACCTCATGCAAACTACCAAACCAAGACTCTATATCATTGACCACGGGCAGGGGAGGGGCTGACGCATATATCCATGTGCTGTTCCAAAAAACGGTGGGAATGCTAATAGGGACCCATATGGTAATAGGAACCCACGATAGCACCTGTATTATAATGACCTCAGGAAGCCCGAAACCCTGGACCCTAAACCCTAAACCCTAAACACCAAATCCTAAACCCTAAACCCTAAACTCCAAATCCTAAACCCTAAACCCTAAACTCCTAAACCCTAGGCCCTAAACTCCTAAACCCTAAACTCTAAACCCTAAACTCCAAATCCTAAACCCTAAACCCTAAACCTTAAGATCCCCAAATGTAGGGTTTCGGGGTTGGAGACTCGAAACTGGCGAGCCACGAGGTGCGTGGAAGCCGATCCGGGCATTAGCAGGGCTAGCCTTTGCACCACCTCAGTGAGATCAAAACTAATCGTACCTTTTGAAGGGGTTATATGGGATAGATATGGGTCTATAATACATAGGGCTTTATGGTTCGGAGTTCAGGGTTTGGAGTAATTTTAGGGATCAGGGTTATGGGTTTAGGGTTCGGAGTTCAGGGTTCGGGTGCAAAGTTTAGGATTTGGGATTAGGAGGCTGTAAGAAGATTGAGGTCGCAGGGTGTACGGTGTAGGGTTGAGGGCTCAGATTTTGGGACTCAGGGTTTAGGACTTAGGTACTGTGTCTCTCGTCTAGGAGTTATAGAGTCAGGGTTTATGTTGGGCTTAGGGTTTCTGAGTTGGTGGTTGGCCCTCCCCAGAATGCAGAAGCT